TTTTTTTTTTTTTTTTTAAAAAAAATCCTAAAATACTTTTATTCCATAGTTAAAATCTGTTGCTGAGGAGACTGATATACAACGCAATGGTTTAAGTCTACAGGTGGCTGTACAGGGGGGGAGCTGTGAGGGAAGAACCTCCGCCATGTCACATGAGGGTGCCGGGTCAAGGCTGGGGTGTTGCCACCCTGCCTGTGAACAAGGCAAAACCCCTCTCTCCATCCCCACGCTCCCTTCCCTCACAAGTGGCATCTCACACATGGTTTAGGTTTTGTGCATAATACAGCAGTGGCCTATAACAGATTCTTTTTTTTTTTTTTAAAACCCCACATTTCAGAAGAACTTCTTTCAGAAGAGAAATATCATCTTTTTAAGGTCACTTTTTAAACCTCTTCCTCCACTCCCTTCGACCCACACAGTGAAATTCATCAAGTTTCCAGTAGGTTTAGCTGTAAAAATGAGAAAAAAAGGCAAGTTTCAACCCTGATTTGGGAGAGTAAAAAACATCTGAGAGGAAGCCACAATAAAAAGGATTGACTACTCTCACCTTTTCCCCAAATTAAAAAGTTTTAAAAGGCAACAGTCATTTTTCTGGTTCTGTAATTTGTTAAACAATCCTAGATATCTCAAGATCTGTTATTAACATCACAGCAAGTGTGAGAGGGTGGGGAGGGAATGTTTTATACATCTGTGGTTTTTGTTGTTTTTGTTTGTTTGATTTTGTTTGTGTTTTTTTTTTTTACAAAAAGGATGCAGCATATGTTAATACCTATACAGTTCCCTTCCAGCACAACAAACCGTTGGTCAGTAGTGATTCAGGACATTAAGGACATGACAGAAACAAGCAAAACCCCAAAAAATAACGAGTGACATGTCAGTTGTGTGCCAGGTTTCTCTGTACACAGCTAATATACACACACGTGCTTCCAAGCACATCCTCTCCTCAGCTTCCCAACACTAGAGCTGCCTTTTTTTCTTTTTTCCCCCCCCTTCCTCGTGGAAAAGAGGAGGAATTGCATCCCAAAAAGGAGTCTGTTCCCCTGGGCATGGTCTCCTGGCAGGGGGTTATTGCTGAGCCACACGAGGTATAGTGTCAGTTCCAGCCTGATGGCACGAGAGACGTGTTTGTTCCAGTGAAATGCTACATTCAGACAGGATTCCCCTTTCCCTGGCTGAAAGCCCTTTTCTGGACATGGTTGGAAGGCAAATCTTGGAAGAGCCAGGGGGTTCCACCCTCGCTGTATTGCCTAGGAGAGGGACGCAGAGAACTTCCAGGCCTCTCAGGTCTCTTGCTCCCTTCTTGGAAGATTATGGTCGATGGTACCTGAAAGCCAAGTGAAAAATCTGAGTGTTGGCCAGGTTAAATGGTCAGATGGCCAAAGAGGGTAAATTGAATTATCTCAGAGCTCCCAGCCCTCGGGGGAAGCTGTAAACATCAAACAATTTCACCTTTTGTGCTCTGCAAACAACTCCACCTCACAAAGCTGGAAGGAAAAGAATCACTTGGGCCACAATTCACAGGTGACTTCACAGATAATATCCCAGCTCATTACCAAGGTGTTTTGTGGTTGTGGCTTCTCTAGCCCCAGAAAAGTCCACTCCAGCTGCAAGGTCACACTGGTTTCAGATGCTTTGCAAACCAGTCACTGGTCACTTTGAGTTTCCAGGGTGGAAGCCCCAATTTTTTAAGGAAAACCAACCCACTTTGTGTCTGCTACTGCTCCGATCACCCCTCACCACCAAGGCAGGAGGGGACATTCAATCTCCCATTTCTGCACAGACAATTTTTCTGCTCCTCAGCACAGCACCCAAGGGCAGAACTCTAACAGCTCCTACAAGACAAACTCTTGAGTAACATGTTCTCACCTCGTGAACTGCTTGCTCTCCTCATGCACTTCCATTTCAGAGCTCTTAAACTCATTCAGCTCCTTCCTGATGGCCGCCTGCACAGAGAGGGAGATTTTTTTTTTTTTGAGAAAGGAAAGGGCTCAGGTTGCAGCAGCCACACCAGCTTTGGCAGTTCGTTCACACTAAACTGAATTTAATCTGCCCCACCTCCTCCACCTCAGGGCTGGGCAGTCCCACAGGTGGCCAGGGAGGACAAGGACAGACTTCCCTGCCAGCTTTTTGCCTGAGCCTGCAAGGAAATTCCTCTGACCCATGGCCTGCATCCTTGGTGTGGCCAGGAAGGGAATGGAGCTGGGGAAGGGTCTGGAGCACCAGGAGTGATGGAGGGAGCTGGGGGTCTCAGCCTGGGGAAAAGGAGGCTCAGGGGGGACCTTCTTGTGCTCTACAACTCCCTGACAGGAAGGGGGAGCTGGGGGGGGTCGGGCTCTGCTCCCAGGGAACAAGGGAGAGGATGACAGGAAATGGCCTCAAGTTGCACTAGGGGAGGTTTAGATTGGATATTAAGGAAAATTTATTCACCAAAAGGGTTGTCAAGCCCTGGAAGAGGCAGCCCAGGGCAGTGGTGGACTCACTATCCCTGGAAGTGCTCAAAGAACACGTGGATGTGGCACTTGGGGACATGGGTTAGTGATGAACGTGGTGGTGCCAGGTCAAAAGCTGGACTCAATGATCTCAAAGGGCTTTTCCAACTTAAACCATTCCATGATTTTATGATTCTTACATCACTCAGAAGCTGATGCAGAGGCCATGCTGGCCTGCAGCCCCTGCCCCCCTGGGCTCCACCTCCCCATGAGGCAGCAGGAAGCAGAGCTGGGACAGCACACACGGGTAAAGGGACACTGGTGGTGCTCGGTGGGAGGGCAGAAGGAAAGATGAAGAGGTGAAGCAAGAGGAACAGAGCAAATCTCCTTGGCTCCCACCCTGGTGTGGCTCCCATCCCCACCTGGGGCCAGGACACTCCCCGTTACCTTGTCAGCTGGTGTCAGCTTTGTCCACGGCTTATCCGCTCGCCGGTCATAGTCCTGAGCATCTGTTACCTCCACGTACTCATTAAACCTCAGGATCTTCCTGGCCTGCAGCTCTGCCACCGTAGGCCTTTGGCTAAGCTGAACACCAGCAAGAACAAAGGAGGTTAGTCTGAGCCTTGTCCCCGAAGCAGATCAGGGCAAAGCACCCTGAGCAAAACTAAAACCAGTTCCCTCGCTGGGGCTGAGCCACAGACCCTGCCAGGTCCTGCTCACATCCTGCAAGGGAGCAGGCAAACCCTCTTACAGACTGGATATTCCCATTTGGATCATCAGGCCAGGATAGGGCAGAACCCAGGACACATTGCCACAAAGAAGGAAGACAAAAGGTTTGGGAATACCTATTAAACGGTGAGCCCTGCATGACACCCCTCAACTCAACCCCAGCAATGGCAACACTCACATTTCACACCCACAGGCCCCGAGGAAGCTTTTCCCACCCCTCAACTCAACCCCAGCAATGGCAACACTCACATTTCACACCCACAGGCCCTGAGGAAGCTTTTCCCAGCCATGAGTAACAATCCCAAAGTAACCCGGACCTAACAGCTCAAAGCAGCTGCTGCTCTGCTCAGCTCCCACACCGCTGTTGCTTTAGAAATGAGCTTTAGGGAGCCTGGTGTGAGTCGTGGCCGCTGAAGAGCTGTGCTAGAGCAGAAAGGTTTGCTGGCCTGGCAGGTGCCAGGTGCCAAATTTAGTTCTCGTCTCCCTCGTTACGCTCGCTGCCAGCTCAGATCTGTCACTGCCAACGGCGCCAGCGGCTCCCCGCGGGTGACAGCCCTCGTGCCAAAGTCCCCGCAGCCCGAGGGCGCTGGGGACACTTACACAATGGCCCCGTGACTGCCCCCACAGCACGGTGCCCACGCCGTGCCCGTTGCCACCAGCCCTGCCAGGTGGCCGTCGCCACGGGGGCCAGCAGTACCTTTCTGGTGAGCCGGCGCTTGATCTCGCGCTTCTCAGCTTGACGGTCAGCTTCATTCTTTGCTGCCAAGGGGGGGGGAAAAAATACATTTTTCATGTAAGCATCGGGCTTTTGAAAAGGGAATTCTGGGTTTGAACAGAGTGTGGAGCTGCATGGGATTATCTACACATCTGAAGGCTCACTGTGGCATGTCTGCGCTTAGGACGGGCACAGAGCGCAGCCCAACTCAACACAGAGTCACCTCCTGGACTATGAGGGGCCATACAGCCCTTAAACAGCACCACTGAGTCATTCTCATGTTAAAGACTAAGGCCTATGTTGCCAAAATACATCCCAGCCACTCTGCAGCTCAGTCCTCCCCAAAGCTTTTAGAGTTTAAAAGAAAATAAAAGCACAGATAAATATTTTAAATGGAAACTTCCTGAACTGACATTTCCCTTTCCTCATGATGTTTATTTAAAACTTTTGCAGAACAAGATATGGCCAAGAGAAACAGCCCTGACTGAGCGATGCACTGCTGCTTTTGGGATCATGCAATGCAATGCTGTAATGTCTGGACCACAAATGAAAGTCCAGCCCAAACAAAACACCTTTCACAGCCCTTGCTGGGTAACAGCAGAGTCTGAACCAGCTCACACGCTCTGAGGTGCCAGGCAGGAATGGTTGGAGTTGGAAGGGACATCAAAGATCACCTGCCATGGGCAGGGACACCTTCCACTAGCCCAGGTTGCTCCAAGCCCTGTCCAACCCAGCCTTGGACACTTCCAGGGATGGGGCAGCCACAGCTTCTCTGGGCAACCTGTGCCAGGGCCTCCCCACCCTCACAGGGAAGAATTGCTTCCCAAAATCTAATGTAAACCTGTTTCAGTTTAAAACCATCCCCTCCCAATGAACTAAGACATTACAGGCAAACACTGCACTTCTCAGGACCCCACACAAGTGCTACTCACGCTGCAGGATGTTCCTCTGCTCCAGCTCTTCTGCTGTGGGTCTCTGGCTCAGTCGCCTGAAAAATGTGTGACAAGTGCATTATGTTGTATCTGGTCACTCCTCAGCAGGGGATGAAGGACACAACTGCCTGGTTTTGGTGCTCTGGAGAGCCTCCTCCACACCCCTCATTCGCCAGCGGGGATCACTGCTGCCCTGTTTGTGCTCTGCTCTGCTCAAACAGCTGCTCAGCCCCCAGCACGGGTCTGGGAAGGGCTCTGGACCCTCAGAAAGCAGTTGTGCAGGGAACTCAAGCACAGAGCGGAGCCTGGACTGTCACCAGCTTTATCCACCCACCCTGCACCCATCCACACCTTTCTACACCATCTGTATTTTACATTTCTGCAGCCCTTGAGATTTTCCCTTCCCGTTCCACTTAACCTCTGGAAACAGGGGCCTGTCAGGGGCTATTGCTCAACTCCAAGAGGAACTCCCAACTTTTCTAAGCAGGAAGGAACAGCAACACTCATCCTCCCAGCCCTGCTCCAGCTGCCGTGCCCAACCACCCACCAGCAGAGGTTGCTTAGACAAGGCACCAGCTTTGCCCATTCCCACCCCAGCCAGCAGTTCAGACAGAACCCCCTCCTTGTTCTCTGTACCTGATGAGCGTTGTCCCAATCTGGTGCCGGATCTCATTCCACTCCTCCTTGCTCTTCCGAGGGAAGACGATCTTGTCCTCCTGCGGCGCGGTCACGTTCCCCAGCTTTATAGCCAGCGTGTCTTTCCTCTTCACCTTGTTGGCCAACGTGCCTGCGGGGAGGGAGAGCAATGGGATGCAGCTCAAGGCTGCAGAGCCTGAGCACAGCGATCCCAGCCACGATCCCTGGCAGCTGTGCTCCCCCTGAGGGAGAACCGTCCTCTCTCCTCGTGTTTCCCAAGCTCTGTGCTTTGCAGCAGCATCCAGCGCTCCCGTGTGACACCACATGCTCACCTAAAGCTGTCCCACCCCAGGGGCTGGGACAGCACAGGCTGCTGCAGGAGCCATCTGCAACTGGAGGGGTGCACTCAGCAGGTGAGAGCACAGGTTTGGCTGCAGAGCCTTGCCAAAAAGCGAGGCAGAGGACATGTGGTACATCATGAAACCGAGAACCAGCTGCTCTGCAGCGCTGTGGGAACCAGCTCTTTGATCCAGAGCTCAGTACAGCCAGGCACGGGTTCAGCAGAGAAATAAAAAAGCCAGCTGCAATGTCAAAACCTTACTGTTATGGCTTTCATCTTCCTCCTCATCCTCATCATCTTTGTACAGGATGGGCCCCTCCGAGTCAGAGTCGCTCATCCCTTCATCTCCTTCCTGCTCCTCTGGCAGGACCTGGGGTACCAGTTTGGGGATGACTGTGACAGATGGCACATCTCCAATATATACACGAGGACCCAGATTCTGTTCCTCCTCCTGGTCGTCTTCTTCCTCTTCCTCATCGTCTGGACTAACGAGAAGCACACTGTTACACCTCTTAACACATGGCACAGGGGCTGGGGAAGATCCTTGGGATCAACAATTCATTAGCTCTCCCCAAGGGAGCCCAGGAAACAGAGGTGCAAGAGCCATCCCAGGATCCTGCACTGTCCCCTCTCCCCAAAGCACAGGGAACTCTGGCAGAGAAAATGCCTGAGGCAGGTTCTGCAGAACCAAACAGCCCTCTGACCCCACTACTTTGGGACTTGCAGGTTCAGCTCTGCTATAACAAGACAGCCCTTTTCCCACTTCAGTTTTGCCAAATGAAAGGCTAAGGAAGGCCACAAATGGATGGAATCCAAGACCTTGTTTTGTCTTGGTGCAATAAAGACAGACCAGGCCTGGATTCCTGGCATCAGCCTGTGTTTGCAGTCTGGAACCCATTTCCCTTTGTGAGCAGCAAAATCCCAGAACCAGGGGTAATTTCGCCGGGAAGTTGTTCTGGCCTTTAAGAGGCTGAGACACAGATTTGGCCAACACAGAAAGTGGTTTCAGCAGAGACACCAGGCCTGCCCTGAGCCCTCCTCACCACCACAGGCTCTCAGGAGCTGCCAGAGCCAGCACACGTCCAGGGGGTACTCACACTTTGAGCATCTCGATGGTGACGGGCAGGGACCTCGTCCTGCCCAGGGTGCCATTGTCATCCCCGAATCCATCGTTCTCAAAGAGCAGGGAGTGAGCCCTGTGGGAGCCCTCGGGAGGGGGGGTGACGGGCAGGGGGCTGTTCAGAGCCTGCTGGATCCGGATGTGCAGCGGGATCTGGGGCAGGCGGGG